GATTTCACAATTATCCCCAAATTTTCCTTTAGATTCTCATGAATTTGATGTTAAATTTAAGATATAATCACAAAATATAGTTGGAAGTTGATTATAGACACTTATCCAATGATTTGGAGAAGTTTGGGTCTTAGAAAAAAATCGCCTATGGAGGTTTAGGGTTTGAGAAAATTGAAAAATGGGTGAAAATACCGTCAAAAATCTCACTTAACAGGCCTCAGATGTCGCATTTGCGACCCAGGGTTCGCAATTGCGAACCCAGGGTTCGCAATTGCAAACCTTCACAAATTGTGAACAAGGCAGGGCTGGCAGAAGTCGCATTTGCGACAAAAAGTTCGCATTTGCGAACTGGGCATCGCAATTGCGATGAAAAAGTTCGTATTTGCGACCACACCAGAAACCATCAATTTTTTCCCGACACGAAAATGAGCATAACTTCCTCATACGATGTCCAAATTTGATGATTCTTTTTCCTATGGCTCCGTAATTTCGATACGAATCTAATAGTTCAATAAAAACTGAATTTGGATCTCATTTTCTCTATGTGGTATCATTTTTGCTTGAAGAAACGACGATAAAGCATCCAAAAACAAGCGCAACATAGCCTAAACCTATCCGAAACTCACCCAAGCCATTGGGGCTCCAAACCAAACATGCAAGCAAGTCTAAAAACATCATACGGACTTGCTCGTGCGATCAAATCATCAAAATAACATCAAAAACTATGAATTTAACCTCAAAACTTATGATTTTCTAACTTTTCAACCGGACGTCCAAATCACGTCAAATCAATTCCGATTCTCACCAAATTTCACATATAGGACTTAAATATCATAAAAAACTTATACCGTGATCCAGAACCAAAATACGGCCCCGATACCAATGAGTTCAAACATTAATTCATTTCTTTATTCCCTTTAAAACCAACACAACAATTTTCCTCAAAAATTGTTTTCTAAGGCTAGGGACCTCGGAATTCAATTCCGGGAATACGCCCAAGTCCCATATTTTACCTCGGACCTCCCGGGATCGTCGGAACATAGATCCGGTCCGTTTACCAAAAATGTTGACCAAAGTCAACTAAAAACCAAATTTTAACTCTAGAAATTACTATATTTTTCATATTTTCACATAAAAGCTTTTCAGTTTCACGCCCGGACTGCGCACGCAAGTCGATACACATAATATGAAGCTGATCGTGACCTCAGACTACCGAACCGGATGCAATTTCTCAAAACGACCAATCGGATCGTTACATACCCGATCTTTGGTGATGTTGATTAGTTAAAACAGAGTTATTTGTAAATAGGCACCCTAATGCACCTTAAAAATCGTTAGGTGGCGAGTCTTCTCTTTTAATACCTTCACTTAAAAGAGTTGTCACACGTCGAAGCCCGCTTTCGCGAGAAAACTATCACGACCCAAACCGATGGGCCGCGACGGGTGCCCGAGTCATACCTGTCGATCACCCTTAAGCATGCGTCTAAGATATACACGTGAATAATATCTGCTAAATTACGACAATAGCATACGTGAGGGAAACCTATCCAAAAGACATATATACATACACGTGCAAAATGCGTAGGGCGAACCGACAATGCTGCTATAGACAACTATATAAGACTGGAAGCCGACAAGGCCACATACTATCCAGCTATACATGACTGTCTACAGACCTCTAATAGAATATAAAACTATACAAGGACGGGACCGGGCCCCGTCATACCCATATACGTATACAAACACATCATACCAAAACTCAAAGCAGCTCCGGATCAAATGGAGCACACCAACTTTCGCTGATTAAGGATCCTAAGAATAGGGACCGTCAGCTTGTCTACCTGCACCTGCGGGTATGAAACGCAGGCGCCGGGTAATAGGGCGTCAGTAGGAATAATGTACTGAGTATGTAAGGCACATAAATAAGTATATAAAAGACATGGAAAAAATATGGAGTAAATGACTCAACTCGTAAGTCTGGATAACTCTGTAAATGATAAAATACTTATAGTGTCATGAATATGTGTATGAATGTCATGTCGTGCATAGGCACATGTATTCATAACATCATCAAGCCTCTGAGGGCATCCCATCATATCATCTCGGCCACTGTGGGCAAAATCATCAACGTATACCAGCTGATCAGGTGGTGGTGCATATATATAGCTGTAACCTTTTCTCATATCCCATATACATATAATATACATATATACGCGTATATAACGCCATCTGGTCATGGGTCAATGTACATGTATAAATTAATGCAATGTATGAGAAGTATGTCAATAAAATCTCTCGGAATGTCATAAGACCATTATGCCTTTGAGTAATATCATGAAGTAAACTTTTTTCAACTTACACATTTTTCTGAGACCCATGAACAAAAGATGTAATAATAAGACACATGGAAATTCAAGAACAAAGCCACCTCTAATACTTCTATGAATAGAGTCATTTATGGAAGTTGTGCATTTTCTCGTTTCGTTTGTGTCGTATAGATCATGCCAAAAGAAAGAAGGGATAACCTTAACATACCTGGGTCGATTATCTTACCAATCCCTCTAACACTAGTTAATTGCGACAAAACACATGATGGCAAGATCGGAGCAGGAAAGATCCGTATGATATTCTTGAGAAAGATTGCACCGTACTCCCTTATAATTGCAAAATCTCACATTGCTTAAGATGATATGAAATCTTGTTGAATTGTTTAAAATTTCACGTTACTTAGGTGTGATATGTAAGTAAGTTAGGGAGGTCTTATATGCTAGTGAACTGTTGAAGATTCACGTTACTTAAACAAGTTGGATTGTTGAAGATTCTTAGTTACATAAGTTAGAAAGGTTTTTAAGTAAGTTGATTTGGGTGTGGGTCCCACTATGCTGTGGCTTAACCACATAACCCCTTTAATTACCACCTAATTCTATTGACTTAAGAGTTAGTTTCCTACCACGTGGGGGTGTTTTGTCTTAACTGAATACTTTAATTAATCACCCACATCTCCTTAATTAACTAGGTAATCTCCATTATCCAATAATTAACCAATTACCCACATAATTAAGAATTATCTCAACTTACTTAAAATACTACTCACTTTTAACATACCTTATACACCTTACTATCATGATCATGTAGTACCTTGTATGGCACTAGTCCATAAATACCGGGTATTATAGCTCGGACCGTATTTTATCCCAATCGACAACCTTCAACAAAACTCATTTTCTTTGATTCGTTTACCCTTTAACCTTCACGGCACTTACTTATAGCTTGGTATAAATAGCCTAAATGCTTATAACTTCAAGATAATCTCATTCCCAAGTCTACGTCGATTAACTTACGACGAAACTTTTATGTACGAAATGCGGGATATAACAAAAACAGGGCGCGACAACATGGCGACTTTGCTGGGAATTTATACTTAGGCTCTTACCATAATGAACTTGGCTTATGTGGATTACTTTCTTTATTACATGCACATTCCTTCCTATCTTCACCTTTATTTGTTTAAATTTGCTATTGCATGCACATCCCTTCCCCTATTCACCTTTATTTGTTTAAATTTGTTATGGCATGCACGTCCATTCCCCGTTCACCTTTATTTGCTATGACCACTCTTCATTTCTTTTCATCTTGTCTAAGACGGCCATATCATGCCTCTCCCATCCCTACTCCCTTACCTGCTTTATTACATTCTTGCATATATTCCACGAACTAAACTGACTTTGTCCTTTTGTCTTTCTTTTCTATGTTTTCCATGTTTACCTTACTATTGTATTTATTGCTTTTACATATTTATCATGCAAACACTTGGCAACGTGTTATTATCTATGCATAAAGCATGCTCCATATCATACTCCACTCGTGCCAATTATCAACATAGCGACGCTTGATGAGTGTCCGAGCTCTTCCAAAATTACCCTTTTTTAAATCGGAAAGGCTTATTTGCGGTAGACCAGTCGATCAGCGGTGCAGTCGACTGTTGCGTGCCTTTCCCTCTCAAGTTGTCCACTTGAGAGTACCAGTGTGGACCATTCTATAAACCTCACTCTGTGAACAACTAATTTTTGACCACACCCTAATTCTATACTATTTTAGTATAAGTACGTCTTTAGGTCTAATCTTGATGTTTTAAACTTTTATCTTACTCTAAATAAATTTTATTCGATTAAAAATTACAAAAATATTCACATACGTATAGTACACATTTTATTTCTATTTGTAAAGAGAAAATAAAATATATATATATATATATATATATATATATAAAAGCTCATCTTAGTGTCAGTTTAAGTTGTAGTCTAAATATTTAATATTTTCTATACTCTAAAATAGTTAGTTAATATTATTATTTAGGTATTTTGCTTTGTCTTATAAAAGGAAAATAAGTACATTTCTTTTAGTAGTGTAGGCCTTATAGCCTGTTTGGCCAAGCTTCTTTTTGGTCAAAAGTGCTTTTTTTTTTTTTTGCCAAAAGCACTTTTGGCCAAAAATTGAGGTGTTTGGCCAAGCTTTTGGAAGGAAAAAAAGTGCTTTTGAGGAGAAGCAGAAGCAGTTTTGGAGAAGTAGAAAAAAGTAGTTTCTCTCCAAAAGCACTTTTTTGAGAAGCACTTTTGAGAAAAATACACTTAGAAGCAGTTTTTTAAAGCTTGGCCAAACACTAATTGCTGCTCAGAAGTGCTTTTCAAACTAATTAGTCAAACACAAACTGCTTCTTGCCAAAAGTAGTTTTGAGAAAAGCACTTTTGAAAAAAAACACTTCTCAAAATAAGCTGATTTTTGCAGTTTGGCCAAACAGGCTATTAGCAATGGTAATTGTCGAGTAGTTTCTTGTTGATGCCAGTATAAATAGGTTTTTTTTTTACTTTTGATTAACTAGTCTTGAGTTTTGCTTTCAAAAGGAATAAGAACAGAAAATCTAAAGAAATATATTTTCATCCACAACTAACTCTCTAATATACCTCATCTTAATCGAATCCCCCTAACTTCCCCACCTTTCACGTCATTCACCTCACATTGCGCGCGCACACACACGCGATCATCCCGTCCCTCACGTCTTGTTGCCCACTCCTCCATTCATCACTCTTCACACACATTCTATATATATATTGGGCGTACACATTAGATTAGGGACAGAGATGATTGTGAATAGAAAAGGAGGGACGACTTAGAAGGCTAACAACCCTAGAGGTTTAGGTCCGGCGCAGCAACTCGTAAGAAAGAAAACGAAGCTGAAAAACGGTCCATAACCACCTAAAAGCGACCTGAAAACAGGCTGAAACTCCATGAAAACGCAGCCATGAATACCTTCCATTAATCATCTCGAACTCAGCTCTAAAACACCTCTAAATCATCCCAAAACAGCCATGAAAACTAGCTAAAAGCTCCAACGAAACAACCCTTCTTCTTTGACATAAAGCAACAACATTAAAGGGGAAGCGAGTGGTTGAATTGAAGTTGTTGTCCGGCGAGTCCGTTCGAGGTTATCCATTCCGTTCAAGGCTCCTGCAAGGTCACTGTTTAAAGGTCTCAGTCGTTGTCCAGTTGTTCCAGCCAAAATTATAACTCTGTATTTTCTTCGTTAATGCAAATGTCCATTTTTATCTCATAATATTTCCAGTTTTACTCCATGATTAAAAGGCATGACTTGTTTGCTTAAATGTTTTGAGTTTGTCATCTATGTTTTGATAGCATCAAGGACAATGACAGAGTTTTGGAAGCTCCAATAAGGCCATTTACAAGATCTCAAGCTAAAGAATTGCAGATAAAGGTTGCTGGACTTCAATGGAAAATAAAAAAGCTTTTAATCGTAGAGGAAGAGCTCAAGATCAAAGGAGATGAATTGTCCAAGTTTTACAATTATTTGGTGTCCCAAATTGAAGTCCAAGAGGAGGAAGATTGGGTCCCAACATGAGCTCTTGAAGTCCACCAAAAGGGCACCCCAGAAGAGCTTAAAAGAGGTCCAAAAGGGGAAGTTTCAAAAGGAGCCCAATTGGAGTCCAAACCAATGGCCCAAACTAGTAGTTTTAAGGCCCAAATCCGCCCCTAAGGGATTTGGCCGCCCACCCTCTTATTTTTATTAGCTTTTATTAGGTTTTCTAGTATTTAGCTTAGCCTCCAAGTTAGGGTTTGTTTTGGCCAGCCACCCTACCTAGTTTTAAGGATTCTTTTACTCCTATAAATAGGAGTTCTTTTCATTCATTATGGTACTTCATTATTAATTAATAATATTATACTTTGAGAGTTCTTTGAACCTTTGTTACTTATGCTTTGAGATTTATCTTTCAACCTTTACTAGTTCATAGTTCAAGGTAGTAAGATAACTTCTTTATTGTGATATTATTGATTCCTTTGTGATATTCTTAGAAGGCGATTAATACTAGTTATTAATTATTGTCTCAAGTTACTCGTAAAGCGGTCAAGATCCGAAACTACTATTTTTGATTTGTTCTTAAGTAAAGGTATTTGATTTCTTCAATAAATCAAAACGTTGTTGCTTGGATCTCGTCAAGGCTATAAAATTTGCGTTCCTGGAAGTTCTTGGAATTATTTCCTTGAATTTTGCCATATCCTTTATTTTCTTCCCTTTAATTCTAGTCGTTCAATTTCTTATTGTTATTGCTTCCGCATTTACTTCAAATTATTACTCTAGTTTGGATTCCCGATGTTGATACCCAATTTTTTCCTGTATATATTAAATATGCATAAATACCTTCAAAATAGCACATGTATGCATATATAAGCATACACAAGGCTTTTGTTATTTTTTCCCATAATTTTAAGGGTTTAAGTTGGCTTATTTTCTCCCCTTTTATCCATAAAATCCCCAATAACTATTTCCAAAATTATTGTTTTGACAATTCATTTATTTAATTTCTATACTTATGCCAGAAATATGGCAAATGTGATTTTTATGTATTCTTACAATTACATTTAGTATTTTTAAGCTAAATTGCATGTAATTGCGTTATTAGCCCTTTTAAGATATAATTATATTTTATATGTGTAAAATTGACCCTTATATTTTTAAAATGTTAATTATGTATTTTAAATCATTTTGGCACCTTGAATTCTTTTCCAGAAATTACTTATTATTTATTAAAATTAAAATAGGGAAAAACTGGCTATTTAAATAACAGCCAAATCTGGCTTTCAATTATAGCCCAAATCGGACCCTAATCCCAGCCCAATTTTATAATTAATACCCCGACCTAGATCCAATTACCCACTACCCGATCCAAGTTATTTTAAATCCTGGCCGTTGATCTTTTAGATCAACGGCCCTCATTTCTCCTTTCCTTTTAATTTCCAAAAGACCCCTAACTCTACTCACTTTCCAAATCCCTGCTGCCCTCAGATACTCTCATTTTCTCTCCTCTCTCAAACCTAACCCTAGACTCTGTCAAACGCCTCATTCTCCGGTCATCTCCGGCGACCATCCTTTCAACCCAAGCCTCCAATGAGTCTCTCATCGCCTTGCTCATCATCTCTAAGACCTTCAAGGGTCCTGGGCCATGCCGATTTGGACCTAGGATTTCTGTTTCTGTTATTTATGGCTTCTCCGGTGTGATTTTGGGCTATGTTACGATAGCTGAAGTCTGCAACAGGTTCTTTCGATTTCTATTTGGGTTTCCCTTTGAAACCCTAACTCTCTTCTGAATCTCTCAGATCTGTGTTATTTTTACACTTTAAGCCTGTTTCCTTCTATGATTTTCTTATTCTCGAGCTTCTTCTAAAAGATCCTCCACTTTAAACCGTCTTTACTTTCTTTGAAAAACTAGGGTTTCTCGGAGATCCTTCTACGCTTGTTTTAATCGATTTCCTTATGATTAAACCTTTTTCCTTGCTTATTTTTGACCAATTTTATGCTCCTACTTTTTTTTTTAACTCGACTCTGTTAAAGCCCTAATTTTTAAGATTTTCTTTGCTTTGGTTCTATGTGTTATCATGATTTTCTTTGCCTTGGTTCTGTGTGTTAGCATGATTCTCTTTGCCTTGGTTCTGTTTGTTAGCCTATTTATTTGATTCTCGTTGATCTCTCGTGGTCACCAGGCTTCGAATGTATTTACTGAATTCCTAGCCTACTTATGTCACTTCTGTGTGACCATGCTCACTTTGTTTGTTTATCTCTTGCCTCTTGCTGTCAATATGGCTAACCTTGCCCTTTGCTATGTCTGTTGAGCTCCTCTATTTATATGTTGAACATACGGAATCATGACTCCCTCTTGATTGATTCTGATTTTCTTAATTGATGGAGATTGAAAGATTTTCTTTTAAAGCCTTACAAGTTTTACCCCGTCTGTTTAAGCTAACTGATTTCCTTGCCATATTTGCTATGATACTTATTTCGACTGAGTTGTGTCCTCAATTAAGGCTTTATGAATTTGGTCCTAATCGGCTACTCTATCCTTATTGAACCTTGACTCCTTCCTTATTTAGTCATGCAATGATTTGATTTGGTTCCCTTAACTTAAGGGAGTACTTCCTTGATTCTCTAATTGATTGATTCTGAGTTCTTAAATTAGTATACTACTATGATTTTTACCTTATTTCACTACCTACTTTCAACTATAAATACCCTAAGTCTTTCATTAACAAAACACGGGTTTTCAAAAACTACCTCTCTTACTAGAAAGTCTCTGCTCTCCCTCTCTCTTGTGCTACTTGCTACTGTTAGCCGGCTGATAGCCAAGGCTAATCATCTGTGCTCTTTGGTTCTTTCATTCTGCTTACTTCTACCTTCACTGGTATGTCCTAGTTTTGATTTAAAGCTCCAACAACAATATGCTTCTCTTATTGTTTCAGTTTCTTTTATTCCTAGTTTGCTTCTACTTGTGGTTCTATTGTGGAACTTGTAGTTAAGTTGCCTTATAAGCATGCTATTATGTCTCCCTTTCCCTTTGGATTAATGTATCCCCTTATGTGTGTTTCAAAGCATGCTTTGTCGATTGTCTTTTACTTCTTGTGTGCTTACCATCCCATGAATTTCCAAATCCTTATCACCCTTTCTATGTGTTTGTATCTCTCCTGACTGGTGTGTGATTATGCCAGAGTCAACTATCTTTGAGCATGTCCAACCCAGTCTTAAGATCTTTGCTGGGTTGTGCAGCCAAATGTCTATGTATCCCCAACCCCTTGACCCCTGCATGACTACTGAATTCTGCAAACTAGCTATGTGTGATCTTTTCTTAAGGTGTTTAAGCATGTTTACTACTCCAACCTCTTTCAAACAATCTTTGTTGCTTTACTAATTTCTTTCAAAACAGACTTTCCAATATAGTCTTTAATAACCTCTTTTCAACTTGTGTCATGCACTTCCACTTTACTCTTAGTCAATAAGTTCTGCCCCCTCTAGTATGTGTACTGCCTTGGGATCCTCTTGAGAGCCCTCTGAACTCTGGCATACTGAGGCTGGCCTTTCCACACTGCACTGGTTCAATTCTTGGTTGCTAAGTCTAGGTGTAAGCATTGCCCGGGGTTCTTGAGGCCCTTAGGGAACTTTGATGCACCTAGACTCTGATTTGTCTATGGAATTGAGGCTCATGAGACCATTGGAGGCTTTGGGAAACTTGGGCCTAATTGTAGGCTCCCTATAGAATAGCTTCTTCATTTTCTATTTTATTTATGTAATTCATTCATCGGCTTGTAATAATTTGTAAACAGACACTTGGGGATATTTAGTAAAGGGGTGGGTAGATGTATACTTTATGGGGTAATATGGGTAGAAATCCTGCTCTTAGGATTTTACTTTTTTTCAAATTTGCCTGTTTTACTCAATAGAAAGCATGTTCATAGGGTTTTTGATTGAATCTGATCGCTTTTTCATAATAGAGATCATGCCTATATGATCTCTTTTCTAATTTCGTTTGCATCAAGTAGAAATCATGCCTATAAGGTTTCACTTCCAATGTCGTTTGCATCAGATAGAAACCATGTCCATAAGATTCTGGATTTGTCATGTTAGAGACCATGTTTCCAGGTTCCAAACCATCATGTCTTAAATCAATCCAAGTATAGTATCATGCCTATAGGGCTTAATTACGAGTCAGTTCTAATGAGTCTTTCCTCATGTTACTGCAAATTGACCAAAACCAGTAATACGCCTAGGTACCATGCCTATAGGGATTTCTATTCGTAACTATGTCTGATAATCTAATTAGCCTAATAAATCAATTTCATTTCGCCTAGTTTATTTCTTAAAACTGGTCTTATTAAGTGTCAACATTTCCTGAAACCAGTCCCTTCGTAATTGCTTTAATCTCATTAGATATCCTGCCTATAGGTATTAAAAGGGTCTATTTCGAAAACCTGTTTGTTTCTACATTTATATAGACATAGTACTGCATATAGGCAAGCTTTAGGGCGTTTTCAAAGACCGCATTCCCCTGAAGCTCTTTCTCCGCCATTTAATGTTTCTGATTCTAATAACTTTTAAAAGAATCCCTAGGCAGCTACTAGGTTACAACTTCTGGGTATAAAGTTTGGTCTGTTTCTGCACATTCACTTAGAGATCCTGCTTTAGGACTTTAAAGACCTTAATTGTGCTTGAGACGTGCTGCTTGTGTGTATGTTTGAGGAGGGAACTGTGAGCCTCGTAATTGCTCCCATTATGTGAAAGTCCTAAATGTTTTGACTGTCGCCTTAGAGTTTTCGCCTTTTAAAACCTTAGGGGTACGTCTAGAACCACCTATAGGTAGAGGTCCTAACTCCCTCCAGGACCATTGAGAAGGGACGGATAGCAGCACGCAATAGAGATCGCTGATCAACACTCGCTTTGCATGACCAATAAGGGGATGTGAAGGGTAGACATGGATATGATGACCGGTGCGCTAATGCCACGCGTAGCCCTTTTTAAGGAGTGGTTACCGGGCATTGTACTGATGTGATCCTATATGCTAACCAACCTAGGACCTCCCTCTCCCCCCAAACCCTGTTTGCTTGAAACTTTATTTTTCCTTTTTTTACAACCTGTTTAAATTCTTATTTTATACAATGCCCAACATGCTCTATTTGCAATCATTTGCTTCAATTGTTTGTTTATGGACTAATTTGTAAATATAAGTTCGACCGGGACCCACAGTTGTGGACCAAGAGGGGTACCTAACACCTTCCCCTCGAGGTTACTTCGAGCCCTTACCCTAATCTATGGTAATGCAAACCAACCCAAGAGTTAATTACTCTAGGTTCCCTAACGCACCTTAAATCGTTAGATGGCGACTCTTCAAATACCCAATTCCCAAAAGGAAATGAG